GACCAAGGTGGGGCACCGGTCACTGTCATCGGGGCGAGCTTCTGGTGGTTACTGAAAATTCTTTACTCCCGTGCACTGCGGTCCTGCCTGGTGCTCGCACCTGCCCCGCTCGCACCCACTGCCAACACCAGAGCCACTGCTCGCGCCATCCCCGATCGCTCAGCGCCATCAGCGGGTGCAAGCAGCAGCTGCCGGCCCCAACTGCTCCTCTGGGCTTCTCCACCTTGCCCTGCTCCTGAGGGGCGATCAGGGCCGGCAGTCCCTCTCACACCCGCTGATGGTGCCAGCCCTAGTCACACCCGCTGCTGGCACCAGCCCCAATCGCTCTGCGCCATCAGCAGGTGCAAGTGGGGCTAGTGCAGCCGTGGGCAAACTATGGCCCGCGGGCCGGATCCGGCCCGTTTGAAATGAATAAAACTAAAAAAAAAAAGACCGTACCCTTTTATGTAATGATGTTTACTTTGACTTTATATTAGTTCACACAAACACACCATCCATGCTTTTGTTCCGGCCCTCCGGTCCAGTTTAAGAACCCATTGTGGCCCTCGAGTCAAAACGTTTGCCCACCCCTGGGCTAGTGCCTTCAGCGCATGGGAACGGTGGCGGCAGGAGCGGAGCTGCCAGCAAAGGGGACTGAGGACTCAGGGCCGTGGTGGAGGCATTGAGGATGGGCTGAGACCCACCCCTGTGCCCATTGCACCCTGCGAACCACAGTTCCTTTCAAGGTGCACGAATTTGTGCACTGGGCCCCTAGTAATAAAATATTACTTTACTTTCACCAAGTGACCAAATCAGGGCAATAACAAGTGTTCAGGAATGTAAACTAATATTAACATCTGGGAATTTTTTGTTTTTGAGTAAAACTGAGACTCCATAAACCTATGTTTATTGTGGTTTCTTGTGCCTTCTGGCACATGACTATGTACCCAGGTCTGCGAAGCAACAAGAGAAAGTCCAAGGTGTTTCATAGAAAATAAAAATACAACAATCTGGCCCTTGTCCTATCTGGCCCTTTTTTACTCTCCATGTTGTGCATCTTTTGTTTATGTTGTTCCCTGAAATAAACTAAATGTTCATGCTTTGCCAAAATTCACATGAAACCCTAACCCCCAAGGTGAGGTATTTGGAAATAGGATCATTGGGAAATATAAGGTTATGAAGGGTGTGGTCCTGGTCTGATGAGATTAATGCCCTTGTAAGAAAAGACACCAGTCTGCTTGCTGACTTTAATGCTCTCCCTTTCTGCCCGGAGAAGACACAGGAGGCAGCAGCTGTCTGTAATCCAGGAAGAGAGCCCTCATTAGGAATCAACCATGCTGGCTGGCACCCTAATCTTGGGACTTCCAGCCTTCAGAACTCTAAGGTATTTCTGTTAAGATACCTACTATGTGGTATTTTGTTATGACAGAATGAGTTAATACACTCACTCTAAAACATGCATCCTCCCATTCCTGTGTCCTTTTCCCCAATCCTTATTGTCAGCCCCACCCTTGTAATTTGTAAATGGTTAACTGTTCCCATCCTTTAGGCATACCAGGAAAAATTACTCACTTTCTTTTTTTAAATATATTTTTTATTGATTTCAGAGAGGAAGGGAGAGGGAGAGAGAGATAGAAACATCAATGATGAGAGAGAATCATTGACTGGCTGCCTCCTGCACACCCCCTACTCGGAGGTCGAGCCCGCAACCCAGACATGTGCTCTTGACTAGAATCAAACCCCGGACCCTCCAGTCTGCAGGCCGACGCTCTATCCACTGAGCCAAACCAGCCAGGGCAATTACTCATTTTTCACAATATGTTCAATGTCTCTATCCTGTGCACCCTGCAACACCATGAGCATGTATATAATACCTCACTAGAAACCCTTAGAACAGACACCAAAGGAAAAAAAAGGTTTATTTTCCTTTTTATCCCTCAACTCTAAAGCACGGAGTCTTTCATACGGTATAAAACAATTAGTTAAACTAAATGCTTTATCATGTTGTTCATTTGATTTGTCTCACTATCTATACAGTGTATACAAATTTCTTCCCTAGTAAATTGCATGCCTGAAGCCCTCAGGTCAAATGAGGACCATTCAATAAGAATCAACTGACCGGTATACTCAGTGGTTAGAGAGTTAGCCCATGCACTGATGCATCGTGGGTTCAATCCCTGGTCAAGGGCATGTGTACCTGTGTTGCAGTTTTGATCCCCGGTCCCAGTACAGGTGCATACAGGAGGAAACCAATCGATGTCTGTCTCCCTCCCTCCCTCCCTCCCTCCCTCCTTCCCTCTCATTCTCTCTAAAAAGCATTGGGAAAAAAAATTCTCTGGTGAGGATTAACAACAACAAAATCAGCTGGTATTTAGGCACAGATAGCCATTATGTGACTGAACACGAATACATATTATAGGTAACACCAATCAAGAGTAGATACTTTAAAACAACTTTGATTTTGTAGACAAATAGTGGGTATGAATTAAATTACTCAAGTTCACACAGTATAAAAGAACTGTAACTAATACAATTATCCTGTGCACCTTTGTCACTGAAAATTTTAAAGTCAAACTTATGGCTCAATTATTAAATCTGTAAAGAACTTTATGCCTATATATTTACTATCTAATTCTGAATTTGATTCATTATAAATCACATTCTCCTGGGTTTCTATTGTTGCTTGTTTATTTTGCCCGGTGAAGAGCAGATGGCCTTAACCCTTGTCTAACACACCCAACTTCTATACATATGAATAACATACTGGAAAATATTTATCTTCTCACCTGACTGGCTTGGCTTTGCAAGTAGACTCTTCTGGCATTCAGATCTTCAAAGGGAGAAGGTCTTGAGCTTCTATAAGGCTCACTGGTAACAACGGTCTCTTGCTGGAAAAGATGATCTTTCACTCGAGAACTGGGAATATTCTCTTCAGCAGTTGCCTAATGGGAACAATCCCCAACTCATTAGTTGCCAGAATATAAAAACAACAATAAAAAATTAGATACTTTCACTCTAACAAGTATTTAGCAAATCAATGAGAATGTATCACTACCAACACTTGAATAGCAATTCCCAAAACTCAAATGTACATGATTAGGGAGCCATGTCAAAATAATAATTTAAAAAAATCAACTTTATGAACAAACTTACTGAACGTAACTTAGGAAGAATTAGAAGGTTAACCATTCCATGTGAGAGAGATATTTAATTATAATGAGCTTTTAATTACAACTAAAGTGCTCTTTTGCACCTTAAAAAGAAAGGTATGTACCAAGAACTGTGTTACACAGCTATTATTACATCTTTCTAGAATTCTGAATGCAAGTATGTTTAATCTCTATGCATAAATTGATTCCATTTTATTTTAGAGTCCACATAGTACCTTTTTTACTTCATAATTTATCATAAATCTCTTCCCATGTCAATATATAAATATGTACAAGTGCTTTGAAATTGTTACAAAGAAGTTTAGTAGTTTATATATTATATATTCCATAGGCAATATTCTACATATGGGCATTGGATTGTTTCCAGTATTTTGTTACATACATAGCAATGCGCACCTCCTTATAAATACATCTTGGTGGACTGGTAGTATTATTTCATTAGGATTAATTCCTATAAATAATATTACCGACTAAAGGATATGCATATATTCCAATTATATTACAAAGAGAATCGATCAGTAGTATATGAAAGAAGAACCATTTCCACACATCTCTGCTCACACTGGGCATTATCATTTACCAATCTTTTCCAATACAATTAAGAAAAACATTTGTAGTGTTATTTTCCAAAAGGATTATCTGTACCATTTTCATAAGTAAAATTAGTAATAACCAAAACACTTTCTTAATTTTTGTACAAATGAGTAAAACGTGTTCAGGTTTAGTCAAGTTTGAATTTCTTTTTTTACTGGATTATAACCCTTTAAAAAAAACTACTACGGGAACATGGACATAATCTTAAGTTAGGTGGAGGGAAGTGCCAAAAATCTTCCACAAGACTAGAAAATGTAATACATGATATGCACAAGGACTGTACATACAGTTGCATGATCTTCAGCATTTAAAAATGAAGTCAGATCATGTGGGTTCAAATTTTATGATTTATGCTACTGAAAGCACATTCAATGCTTTCAGTATTGTGCTGGCATCGACTCATCTGTATTATCTATAGAGAAACCCATGCCAACTTTAATGTTTTACTCTCAGAGGCTGGTATAATAATTATTCTCCTATGGTTGCTAAGAGATTGTTTAGCTTTTTCTTTTTCCAAGACTACTATGGCAATTTTGTGTGTAGAGGCAAAAGGATGCCAGGTAAAACGATAAAACAATTTGGGCTGTAGCTCTCCACTAGATCACAAGGCTAGATGACAGCTGTGAAGAAAATAAAAACAAAATTTGGTTCTCTCCACCTTTGCTCTTCTTCCTGTAGTAATCCTGACACGGAGAAAACTTAAGTGTTGTTCTGCAAGCCTTTTTGAATGTATGTTTCCTAATAAATAACCAATTAAGTATGAGAAAGTAAATATCACAGTCTATTTATTGCTCAAAAACTTCCTTTTTGTATATCACAAATCACAGGTTTCAAAAGGTGTGGCTGAGTCATATCCAACAATAGATGTTTTTAATGACTATACTATTCGTTTACTTTAGAATGATCAAAAAATTTTAAATGTTATTTGATAAAGAAATTTTATATTTCAGTGCTGCATATGCTAAAAATGCTACCAAAGTTATTTTTGGCATTTAAAATTATATACTCAAATTATGCAAACTTAGCATAGAAAATGGAAAAAATGATTAACCATTCCATGAACTTAACAAAACCACTATTAACATTTTGGAGTAGCATCCAGTAGAAATTCATTTCAGACCTGACTATAATTGTCTCCTATTCATTCATTAGATTTCTTAAGTTACCTTTGATTAAAGATAAGAATAAACCTTGAGTTTTAAATTCTGCATTTGTCTATGAGCTTTGTCTGAAAACATTAACAGCATTTATAGTATATTGTTTAAGCAACCTGAATACAGTAATCAGTGATGAAACAATATGAAAGGAATATGAGAAATGTACCAATATATAATGCCCAGCAAAAACAGAAAAGGAAAACAAGTCCTCCACCCTAAATTAATAAGCAGAAAAACTAAACTACCTTCCTAATGTAACTTTAGTTTGACTTAAAAAAAAATTGTATTAGATTTTCAGAGATTGTTTATTGTCTCCAAATCTGAGTAAATAGGCAGTAGTTACATAGTTCCTGATAACTATATAAATCTTTATACAATCCTCTAAATGACAAACCTATTTCTAGAATCTAATTCAAACATCACATTCAGAAATACCAACAAAAATTAATGTAAAAGGCTGTGGAAAATAAAGTAAATGTTGAATGGAATGTGAATGGTTAAATAATTAGTAGTACTGTTACATGATATAAGGGCTAAAATTCAAAGACTGTGAAGTCAGATCATGTGGGTTCAAAGTTTATGATTTATGCTACTTGAATTCCAACCACCACCATCCCCAATACAAACAAAAATCCTAACAAAAACACAATCAAAATGGAAAAGATTGATCCTCATAGTGCTTTTTTAAAAAGTATGTATGTATTTAAACACAACATGCAAGAATTTAAAAAAGGCCTAGCTAACTAAATAAACCTATCTATTAACTTAGTTTTCAGATATTGAGCCTTATTAAAATGTTACCAACTCTGAAAATTAGTATACGAACAATTTATATCATCCTAGCCTATAACAAAATAACTTTAAAGAATATAAATCACAAACCTTTTAATCATTTTGGCTCAGAAATGACATTACCCAATTCTAAAAAAGGATAAGTTAGTCAAATACTTCTCAGTAGCAGAAAGAAAAGATAGAACAATTTTTCATTTCATATCAATTAGGTATCATCTTTCTACTTGCCAAAAGCATGAAATCTGAGATCTCTTCCTCTTACTACCTCAAGTCTGATCTAAATATAACAATTATTACCTCCTTTAGGCTTAAAAACTTAGATAATGAGTTACTCTTTTAAAACCATTTTAGTTGCTTTTGCAAATAATGACCAATAAAGTAAACCTGACATAACCACTACCATAAATCAGTCAATTTGTACTAAAAATAATTTCAAAATGTTTATGCCGGGCCCCATAGGTGAGTTATGAAACAAGATGTACTTTACCCTAATAAAGTAGTTAAAAAGCCAATTTCGCCCCACCAGTGTGACTCAGTGGTTGAGCGTTGACCTATGAACCAGGTTCGATTCCTAATCAGGGCACATGCCTACATTGCAGGCTCGATTTCCAGTAGGGGGCATACAGGAGGCAGCCAATCACTGATTCTCTCTGTCTTTTCCCTTAGAATGTCAAATTAAAAAATGATGACAGCAAACACAACAATAGCCGTCCGGTGTAAATAAATCAAAATTATACCTATATTTCTGGCACATCAGCAAATAATAATAATAATAATACATTTTTTGGTGTGCTGCAGAATTTTAGTAACTAGCTTATGTGTGCAATGAAATGAAAAAAGATTAAAAATTGCTGAGTTAAATGAATTTGAATACTTTATACTTCCAACATCTTATTCCAAAATAAGAATGGCATGCAAAAACTTTGGCATATCATGAAATAATAAGGTAAAGTCAAGAGTCTTCTTTGGTAGTTTTAATTATGGATGTTGATTCTTCTTAAAATTGTTCAAACAGGATGTCTAGAAAAATTTACCTCACATATTCACTAGCCTCTGAGTATTTCTCCTCTGCTTTTTTTGTATGTGTGTTATAGGTCACTGAGTTGGCTCCAACTCCTGGCGATTCTATGAATGAGTGAATGATATCTAAATCTTTTTTTAATGTGTGTTATATCTTTGAGTTGGCTCAACTTCTGGCAACCCTAGAATGAATGATGCCTACATCTTTTGCCCACCTTTTTAAGCTGAACTTTAACCAAATTTACTTTCATCATAGGGAGCAATTCAGAACATATTTCCCTATTTCTAGTCCCATATTTTGGTAGAAACCAGAACAAAATGGAACCTTGAAAATGTATTTATTTTGCATTTTATTACTTGTTTCTTATACCTAATTAACTCCAACTTACTGTATTTTTTAAAATAATAATTAACCATCAATAAAATAAACAGATTCAAATATTTAAACACATAAACTCTTTATGTACAATAGTGGAACTAGTAATTAAGATACTTCTAATATAAACAAATTACATAAAACAAACCATTGAAAATTAAACTTGAAAACGTATTTAGAACAAAAAACATTATGTAATTTAAGTGGAAAAAACAGATTACAGTATAATAACATAATACATGTATGTACACATTTATGTCTAGAAAAAAACAACAACCTAAGAGAGTATTATGCTAAGCGAAATAAGCCAGTCAGAGAAAAATAAGTATCACATGATCTCACTCATATTTAATTAACAAAATAAACTGATGAATAAAATAGAAACAGAGACATAAAAGCATAGAACAGACTGATGAATTTCAGTGGGAAGGCAGAGGTGAGGGGGTGGGAGAGGAGCGATTAACAGAGGAACCTATCTGCATATATGCATAACCCAGGGACACAGACAATAGAGTGGGTGAAGGCCTGGGAGGGGCGGGTACAGGCTGGAGGGGTTAAATGGGGAGAGGGAACCCCACAAACAAACAAAGAGGAGATCTGTAATACTTTCAATGATAAAGATAAATTAAAAAAAAATTAAAAGCTTAAAAATAGTATGGTGGTTATCATGGATGATAACAATTCATATGATTGCAAATGTGGATAAAACCGTTTTCCATGTCTTTAGCTCACAACTATTTTTACAATGTAAATAACCTGTTATTAGTACAAGGTAATCATACAAATTTGGGTTCATTCAGTATTATTCTAAAAATATTAAGTTACTGCAGAAAACTTAAAAAACACTGAGAAGTATTAATAAAAAAGCCATGTAGCTCTGAATCTCACAATCCAAAAGTAACTAACAGAAACATCTAACATTTTAGCTGTGTAATGATAACACCATAAAATTGTGTTTTATTACTTAATATAGTGCAAGTAAATTCATAAAACTTTAATAGTTGTATAAAAAATATACCTTAATAAATTCAACCATTCCTATTCTTTTAGATAACTTATTTTTATTATCAATCTTTTATACACACACCCTCAAAAATCTGGGTATAAAAAATTTTTGCACATCTCTATTTCCTTAGTACAGATTATTGGAAATCGATGCATTGGATAAACAGGCATGAATGTTTCTATTTTAAAGGCTTTTTAATACAATTACCAAAATGCTTTCTAGAAAGAATCTAACAATCTACATTTTCTCCAGCAGAACATTACTCTGTCAATCTCATGGACAGACACAATATGGGATATAATATCAATTTTTAAACCTTTGGTCATTAGGTTAACTAAAATATGTTAACTTAAGCTACCTGCTGATTAACAGTGAGATAAAACAGAAGTGTGTCCATATGCTTATTAACAATTTGCAATGCCTTTTCTGTGAATTTTTTATATAAGTACCTTCCTAATGGGTGGGGTATCTGTGATAGTTAATTTTATGTGTCAACTTGTCTAACCTATGATGCCAAGCTATTTGGTCAAACACCAGTCTAAATGTTGTTGTTGTAAAGGTAATTTTCTCATGTGACTAACATTTAAATCAGTAGACTCCGAGGAAAGGAAATTACCCTCCATAGAGTTGGTGGGCCTCATTATAAAAACATTTAAAAAAAAGACTGAGGTTCACTAAAGAGGAAGGAAGTCTGTCTCAAAACTGCCTTTCCACTCAAGACCAAAACATCAACTAGTGACAGAACTTCCAGCATGTCTGCCTATCCTGTGGCTTTTGAACTTGATAATCACGTGGGCCAATTCGTTCAAAAGCAAACAAAAAACAATGTGTGTGTGTATCCAAACCAAAACAACATTCTCTCTATATATGTTATGTACATACATGCATATATACATACTATTGATTCTGCTTCTCTGTATTTCTTGACAAATACAGTGCCTTAGAAAGTTTCTTAAAAAGTTATGAGTTACTTATTTATTAAGGCTAGTTATTTCCTCTATTTCAGGGGTGGGGAACCTTTTTTCTGCCAAGTGCCATTTGGATATTGATGACATCATTCGCAGGCCATACAAAATTATCAACTTAAAAATTAGCCTGCTATGTTTGGCCAAACATTTAATTAACTCACCCCCAATGCCTTGGCAGGGCCAGACCAAATGATTTCAAGGGCCTTATACGGCCCACGGGCCGGACATTCCCCACCCCTGCTCTATATCCTTTATGTTTAAAAAATTCTTTCAAGCCAACTACTTACTTGTAAGTCATCATCTGCTCCTTCAGTTTCATTTTTTAATGCTGGGCATCCTAAGAAAACAGGTAAAAGTTTAATTAAACAAAATTTTTGTCTTAGATTTTAGTATTACTGACTAATTGACTATGTCATTATAATACTACAGGAGACTGATCAGAGATCATTCTGGGCTGCCTGGCAACCAATCTGATATTGGCCACTCATACGTGCCCCTTTATTAAAAGAATAGAGAATAAAGTGATTGTTTTTCTCTTCTGCAGGTAAATTCCCAATTACTTACAAAGAGATGTTTTTCTGTGTGTGAAAAGTGTACTATTTACAGCAAGCCCTGCTCCTGATTTCTCCAAAATACTCAAACACCTAGGTCAGTGGTTCTCAACCTTCCTAATGCCACAACCCTTTAATACAGTTCCTCATGTTGTGGTGACCCCCAACCATAAAATTATTTTCATTGCTACTTCATAACTGTAATTTTGCTACTGCTATGAATCGTAATGTAAATATCTGATATGCAGGATGTATTTTCATTGTTACAAGTTGAACATAATTAAAGCATAGTGATTAATCACAAAAACAATATGTAATTATATATGTGTTTTCCTATGGTCTTAGGCGACCCCTGTGAAAGGGTCGTTCGGCCCCCAAAGGGGTCACGACCCACAGGTTGAGAACCGCTGAACTAGGTAAACTATGTGCACCACACTCCTCTGGTGTTAGATAATGTCCATGTGTGATCCCCTCAATCTGTCTAAATACTCTGATCCAGGAAACAGTATTTAGTACCCAGAAGCAGGATTTTAGTTGCTATAGTAAAAAAAATAAATGAGCCTTAATTCACTATTGATAGTCAATGGCCAATTGTTGCTATTGACCGTTACGCATCAATGTCTTTGTATACATTTTTATTATGTTCAAGAGAGCCTTTAGTTCTAACAAATTCATAAAGAGGGATTTCTCCTAGCAATGAATTCTGAGTTTATGCTACCCTTGAGACATAGCTAGCATGGAGATGAGAAATCTGTCCTTTGAAAAGGGTTGCAATAAGTTTTTCCTTATTGTTATAAAAGGCTAATAAGTAAGAGAAATTTAATGAGATTGTTCAAAGTATATATAATAACTGGTAATAAGGTTAACCAGTATATTTAAAATAACGTTTACAAATAATAAGATCGACTGAATACAGTAGCAGTCTATTCTACCTGGCTAGGAGTTTGTAAATTTCTCCTTATAAATTGTCTTTTTGAACATTAAACTCAATCTATTTGACCCTAGTGAAAGTGTGTTCTTATGGGGACATAAGTATAGGCTTCAAAGTAATTCAAAACTTAAACATAAATCATATAAATTTTAACAGCCATAGATAACGATTTTCTCTTTAAAGCACTGGTTCTTCAACACTAGCTAAATAGCAGAATCAACTGGGAAACTAACACTAGAGTACAGTACCAAACCAATAATGTCAGAAACGCCTGTTAGGTGAGGCATAAGGGCACCACGCATTTTTTAAATTAAAGTTTATTGTAGTGGTTTGAGAATCACAACATCTACTAGAGAATCTGAGGAAGCATATTCATTTGTTTTTGTAAATTCGTAATATAATAATTCAGCTAGGATAACAATTCCTTATCACATTTGAAATGTCTAGGAACTTAAAAATAAAAATAAAAAATATATATAATGCCTCAGCTCCACTCCCCAAATAGTTTGATTCAAGTGACCTGGAGTGAGAACTAGTCATTCTATTTCTCAAAAGCCTCCCAGGTAATTCTAATGTGCAGCCAACATCAAGAACACTGACATAAAAATAATTTATGGGCTCTGATTATAAAAATAAAATGACTGCTATCATTTCATAGAATTTCTTTCTGAACTGGAAATCTAACATTATTTGCTTAACAAACTCTAATATTTAAAGTAGCTAAATAAATTATTTAACCACAGTTTCATGCACTATTAATACAGATTTATACTAAGCATCTCCATGTTCTTGCCTATGGTCTGTTTCATAATTAGTTCATTTCTTCTAATATTCAAAATATACAAATCACAATGTTATCTAATATTGATGCAGTTACTTTATACAGAAGCCATTCTATTATTTAAGATGATATTCCTTTTTAATTAGAAAAACAAATCAAGTTTTGACTTGTTTGGGGGAAGAAATTAGTTTTAATGTGATTTCTTTGTTTAATTAAGCAGAGGCCAGTCTTACATGTATATACAGTCTCCCTCTTTTTAAAACCTGCAAGCTTGTGCAAGCTTTAGAGTTAATAATTTTAACAGATTGGAAAGATTACAAAGAAATAGATGGGGTTGTAATATTTGTCAATAATGAAATCAGGTAAAAAGAAAAGGGTTCTGCCCTAACCGGTTTGGCTCAGTGGATAGAGCGTCAGCCTGCAGACTGAAGGGTCCCAGGTTTGATTCCGGTCAAGGGCATGTACCTTAGTTGCGGGCACGTTCCCAGTAGGGGGTGGGCAGGAGGCAGCTGATGGATGTTTCTCTCTCATCAATGTTTCTAACTCTCTATCCCTCTCCCTTCCTCTCTGTAAAAAAATCAATAAAATATATTTTTTTAAAAAGCATTTCTCTTTCAAAAAAAAAAAAGGGTTCTGACATAGAATAACTGGCATATACCTATATTTGATTATTAGAAATTTTATCTTTATCATTACCAAAACAAGAATATGACTGATATAACATATACACAAGGATTTTAAAAGTTGGAACTGACTGCTCCCCTCTTCCTCAACCTCTTATTTGAAATCACCTGAATTATCTGAAGGGAACTGTTGATGGGTTCTTCAAGGTAACAAATTTAATTGGCATATATTGTGATGTAACAAATTTGAAACAGACTAAGGAGCCCATTATTTTATCTACTTCACCTACAGTGAGCTTTCAAAGTCTGATCACATATCACAAAAGCTGACTTGCTTAAAGTAACTCTACTTTACTATAGATAACTGATGAACAGATTAAGAAAATAGTCAAGAAAACTTACCTTGAGAAATATCCTCTATAGCTCTTCGAATACCTCTATCAAAAGCCCTAGCATCAGCAGGACTTTGAAAGGTAAGGCCAAATTTCTTGTCTTCAATCTTCCAGTGGTGAAATGTTGGAGTGACCTTATTGTAAATGAGGTCCTTTTTAAGCATACATTCCAAAACCACCTGTCAAAAGTTAAATGCCAAAAATTACTATATGTGTCAAATGCATCTAATGTAACTCTTAAATACAAACTGAAGAGCTATTATATTTTAGTGATTATTTTAACCCTATATTAATACAGAGTTCTTGCTACTTAATCTACTTCACAAAGTTATTCACTACAGAAATTAAGATGGGACTGAAGAGGATTTTAGGAAGATGGCAAAGAACCAGGAATCTGTCCTCCTACCTAAACAACAACTGCACCGGCAGAATCTGTCTGATAAAACTGTTGGAAGTCTGGAATCTGCTGAAAGCCTGCAACTTCCAGGGGAACGCATGGACGGTAAATTGTGGTTAATTTCTGGGAGTTGTGGGAGTAGTTCCTGGAGCGGCAAGTATACAAATCTTGGGAGCCAGGGTAGATAAAAAGAATCCTGTCCTACAACTACCAGATATTTGTGCTCTTATCACTGACTGCTGCTTCTGATCACAGAGGCAAAGACAAAGAAGAGGGCAGCCACTGTTGTACCTTCCCTCATTGCTGCAAGTCATTTCTCATCAGAATGAAGTGACTTCCAGGGTATTTAAAGGGCTAGCACCCTATTTTAGCTGCCATTTTTTTACTTTTTCCCATTTTGAGAGCCAGACATTAAATGCAAAAACAACAACATATTTGGGGGAAATTAGAAAGTGACTATGCATACCCAGGGAAAGGCTCAGAAAAGACATAAGAAGACATTAAGTTCATCTTATTCTGATCCTTGGCACAGAGAAAAATAGTAACAATGTAGTAACAAAAACAGCAAACCATAGGGAAATGAGACAATCTGATTTCCAGAGTTACCACATTATTAGATTCAAATGCTCAGTGTTCAATCAGAATAACCCCAATGCATACAAAGAAACAGTACGGTAAGGCTAGCTAAACAAAATAAGGGGGGTGGGTGGGTTTAATAGAAACTGGTCCTGAAAACGATCCGATAGCAGATCTACTAAACAAAGGCTTTTTAAAAACTGTCTTAAAAAGTACAAATTGGCAATTACAAAATAGTCACAGGGATGTGAAGTACAGCATAGGGAATATAGTCAATATTGTAATAACTATGTATGGCATCAGGTGGGTACTAAACTTATGGGGGGGTTCAATTCATAAGTTATATAAGTGTCTAAACACTAAGTTGTACAACTGAAACTAATACAATACTGAATGTCAGCTTTAAATATTTAAAAATTTTTTAACTGTCTTAAAGATGCTCAAAGAACGAAATGAAGATATGGAGAAAAATCAAGAAAATGTTGTATGAACAAAATAGAAGTATAAATAAAGACCAAAAAAAAAAAAAGAAACCAAAAAGAAATTCTGGAGCTGAAAAGTACAATAACTACAGTGAAAAACTTACTAGGTGAAAGAAGCAGAGAAAATATTTGTAGAAACTATGGTTGAAAACTCCCCAAATTTGATAAAAAGACATGAATATAAATATGCAATAAGCTAAACACATTCCAAATGAGATGAACTCAAAGGCATTCACACAGAGAATCCTGAAGGCAGAAAGATAAGTGAATTATTACATAAAAGGATCCTAAATAAGGATACCAAATGACTTCTCTTCAGAAACTTTGGAGGCCAAAAGATAATGGACAGCATAGAGCGTCACAGCCTGTGGACTGAAGGATCCCACGTTCGATTCTGGTCAAAGGCACATGCCGGGGTTGTGGGCTCGATCTACCAGCAGGGGGCATGCAGGAGGCAGCCGATCAATGATTCTTTCTCATTACTGATGTTTCTATCTCTCTCTCCCTTCCTCTCTGAAATCAATACAAAATATATTTTTTTAAAAAAGTCAGCATAATACATTTGAAATGCTAAATGGAAAAAAAAACTTGTCAATCAAGAACCCTATAGCTGGTTAAACTGAAATTCAAAAGAGAAGGAAAATAAATAAAAGATCAGAGACTGCTGCAACTAGATCTGCCCTGCAAAAAAAAAAAAATGGTCAAGGAACTCTGTCTGACAAGGTGAGATGACAGTGACAACAACTTGAAGCTACATAAAGAAAGACCTCAAAAAGATAAATACATGGGCAAAAGAAAAAAAGCAGTTAATCTACTGGCATAATCAGCCATCATTCTTTGTACATAATTTTAAAAATATACTCCCTAAAACATTTTGAATCGCTCAACTTATACATAATCTCAAAGCCTCCATATCCAAAGTATAAAAATTTCTCATCTAAGTCACACAATATGTTAGAAAGTTGTTTTGCTTCTGACTTTAAGTAGCATTAAAAAATAAACACTCTTGCCCTGACTGATGTGCTCAATGGTTAGAGCATCGGCCTGCACACCAAAGGGTCACAGGTTCAATTCTTGGCCCAGGTCGGGGTGCATGCAGGAGGCAACCAATCACTCACTGTGTCTCACTCACATCCATGTTTCTCTCTCTCTCTCTCTCTCTCTCTCTCTCTCCCACCCTCTCTCTAAAATCTCCCTCCCTCCCCTCTCTAAAAATCAATGGAAAAAATATCTTCAGGTAAGAATTAACAAACAAACAAACAAATAAATTTACTCTCATCACATTAAGGATAAAGGTAACTGTCCACCTCAAATTAATAAAAGACATAAAAGTTGTATTTTTAAAAGGTAGGTAGAGATTCTTTTCCAAGGAAATGCCAAATGGTGGATGACACCGGTGCAGCACCGGGGCCCTGGAACAGCAGGTCGCAGCTGCTTCCGTGGAGGATTTGGCAGCAGTATCCGGAGCCGAGGCCACAGAGCTGGTACAGACAAGGCCTAGGACAAGGAGTGGATCCCCGTCACCAAGCTGGGCTGTCTGATCATGGATATGATGATCAAGTCCCTGGAGGAGATCTATCTATTCTCCTTGCCAATCAAGGAATCTGAGATCACTGACTTTTTCTTTGGGGCATCCCTCAAGGATGAGTTCTTGAAGATTATGCCCATGCAAAAGCAGACATGTGCTGGGGCCAGAGGAGCAGGTTCAAGGCATTTGTCGCCTTTGGGGACTACAATGGACATGTTGGTCTTGGTGTTAAGTACTCAAAGGAAGTAGCCACTGCCATCCGTGGAGCCATTATCCTGGCCAAGCTCTCTATTGTGCCAGTGCAGCAGGCTACTGGGGAAACAAGCTCTGCAAGCCCCACACCGTTCCTTGCAAGGTGACTGGCCACTGTGGCTCTACTGGTGCACCTCATCCCTGCCCCCAGGGCTACTGGCATTGTCTCGGCCTCTGTGCCAAAGAAGTTGCTGATAATGACCAGTATTGACGACTGCTATACCTCGGCCAGGGGCTGCACTGCCACCCTGGGCAACTTTGCCAAGGCCACCTTTGATGCCATCTCTAAGACCTACAGCTATCTCACCCCAGATCTCTGGAAAGAGAGTGTATTCACCAAGCCTCCCTATCAGGAATTCACTGACCATCTTGTAAAGACCCACACCAGAGTGTCTGTGCAGAGGGCCCAGGCTCCAGCTGTGGCCACCACATAATTATATACAAGAAAAATAAAGTGAATTAAGCCTGCTAGAAAAAAACAACAAAGAAAGACAGGTAGAATAATGCCTCAAAAGACTTTTACCCACCATGTGATTAATACTAAGTCTGCATTCCTGAAAAACAAAGTTTTAAGGGCTGCAAGGATTCTCAAAAATTAGTGAGTTCTGCTGCCTCCCTCCTTCCATTGCCCCTAAACTATATCAGAACAATGTGCTCTGACTTTACTCCATTGGAGTTTTCACTATATTAATTATGTATATTACGATAACAGTAATAATGATAATAATAGGCATACAGAAAACAGAGCTCAATGTTTACCATATTCATATTGGTATACAATTAACAACCAAACTGTAGAAAACAGCAATTACATTTTTTAGTAAGCAATTACAATTCACCAATACAAAATCAGTAGGTGATTTATTTACTCTGCAGGAAAAATAGGTAAGGAGATAAATTATTTCTAGCTAAAAGAGAGCTATACCTATTAATTACCAATGTAGTAAACTAAAAGGGACTCTACAGAGCTGCAGTGGTTACAACTCTCCCAGAATACATGACCTACACTTACTTCTAGAGCTTCTTTATATGTATCTGGTACCAAATTAGTAATTCTAAAGTCTGTTAAGATTCTCCTAAAGGCAAATGCCACAGCCATTACAAATATAAGCTGAAAAACATTCTGTATATACAGTTGTTAAACTTGAAATGCATCTCTAAGTAATCCTAATTAATAGCCGAATATACCTCTTTCTAGAGTTAAAGAGTTCTGGAAGAATGTAAATTTCATCAGACCTCCAAGGTTAACTTTCAAAAACATTTGTAAATTAGAGAGTAAAAATAAAAAGGGGATCAGTGGCTCTGCCCTCATTTCTACTCAAAATATATTTTACATTAAATTAATATAAAGATAAGCATAGAGTAAATAGCAATTATAAAGTGAATAAGACTGACACAAGAATAACTATGAAAGAATATGTTGCCCAAACAATATGACATCAATAACCTTTAAGATCCATTAAGGATGTGGCTTGTTAACAAATAAGAACAAATCAAGGAGTCACGTTTTAGAATCAGCATAATACTAGAACTTTTTGAACTTTTGCTCACTTACAAGTGTGTTGGGATTAGAAATGAAGTATATTATTTATTAGAAACTAAAAAAATTAGTATATGATGAAAAAATTTTAAAGCTAGAAAAAAGCAACAACAAATTCAAAAGCACATTAATGTTTATGGCTGTATTAAAAAAAATTTTTTTTTTCAGACTTTGACATACCAACAGACATGACCAGGTTTGAGTAGAATATAATTGCTGCAAATAGACTGGCTGCAGGAAGCCTTAGGAAGTGACTATTATAATGGAGGAGGAAAAATACAATTATGTAGGGGTATTTGGAAGAATAGCTTTGCAGTCTAATACAGATCTGAACAGACCTAAATTGGGTAAGACATACCAGTTTAAATTATTTTCTAGCTAGATAAATACTTTTGGAACCATGA